ATAGTGACGCGCCCGCAATATTCTATATCGGAGACACTGGTAGACTTTTGAGGCCAAGGTTTGGTGAACATTGGCGTACAGTAATTTGTAACGATGGCAACCAACTGTTGCGGTAACCCAGCCGTGGTCTTGCATGTACTGTATTTCATTATGTAAGTTTGTTTTGTCCTGTTATGTATAATGTACTGTTTCATCGGCAAAGTTTATAAATTAAAAAATTAAAACTAAACTAAATTAAATTAATGGTTGCAATCACAGTGTTTCAGACATGAAAATGCCAGCTCTCTCCCCCATGGTTCGAGTGAAAATGGCGGATAGACATATTCTTTACAAGCTCCGTGTTTCTCCTCAGGTTTGTGCTATTTATTGGTTTCAGAACGCTTCGGTTTAGTTCTGACTTATCTTATAAAGCTCATTTGTCTACATTCATGTATTTGGTGAAGAAAACCGTCAAATTAAGCGAGAATATCAGCGATTTCTAACTGTCGACGTTGGTGAATTACGAAATGACGATGAACAGACTCAATCCCGGACGTATTTTGTCGCATTTAACAATCCTAAAGAAAATGGTTCATTTGGTTATTACTATGGCAAAGTTCACCTGTTGACACATCCTCGTACCCAGGGTCTTTTTGGCAAAGACCTTGGTATCGGCTGGTCACGTGACTCTACAAAAATTGATTGCCCAAGGGGGAGTGGCAAAGTATCAAATTACATGCTTCCACAGAAAACGTTAAATTTCAAATACCAGGAGTGGGATTTTACGATATATAGTTCGAAGCGCCCGCTAACTTCTATTTTATACCTCCGTTTGCTTTTAAATTACAAAAACACCGTAGCATTTTATCAACAGTCAAGTCGAGAAACAAATAAAATGCATACTTTAAATTTTGAAGTTGGGTATTCCCTTGAAACATATTTTCATATCAAACTGGTCAGTCCTCAACGTTTGTACATTTTCACTTTTATCTGTTCCGAAAGTACGACATTAGATTTGTTGTTTGAAAACGTTGATAAACTTTGTGCAGATTTACTAATAGTACGCGTCTCATTTTATAGTGAAGGTTGATAAAATTTTGAAATGTAATTAACTTTTTGTCACAAATCACAATGTAAACATGTGGACACTGCCGAACAGAGACTAAATGCTCACTTTAAAACTGTCGATGGTTTATCTTTGAAAATACTTTTAATTAAATAGTTCGTCATATTTATTAAAAAACCCTGTAGATCGGTAGGGTAGGAGGATGGCAGGTAGTAAAGTACAACAATTTCAGGGCGTGTATCATCAGGTGGTATATACAATCACGGCTTTAGCCTGATAATTTTTTTACCTCCATGCACGAAGAAATGGGGTAACAGCAATATTTATAACAGTATTTTTCTGATATACAATACACACTTTATAATATGATAATTCCATAAACCACGGAATAAACAACGGCATTAAGCCACGGCATAAACACTGATATCACCTCGGATATCACACTCAGTCTGATATGCATATGTACCCACCACAGATATAGTAACACTTATATAGTCTTAGAGTTGGATTCAGTATTATATTTCACAAAGTACTTTATTACAGTAAAGTAATTTCATTACAGTAAAGCTAATGTCACAATTAAAGCTATTTATCAAATTTATCATGCGGACTGTATTCTCTAAATGTCCTAAATGTCAAACATATACAGTATTCGTATTTGTAACATACACGCACAGACGAGTCTTTCGCTTATCTTTGAGTAGGCTATTGTCGGATTATTTTACCGTATTTCTTGAGCATCAAGTTTGAACAGATTCTGGTTTTTCGTATCTCTGAGGAGTAGCATTGTTTACAGTTTTTACAAAGCAACATAGTTTGCGATATTTCAGAAATCAAAAGATCTCTATATTTCGTTACACATCTCAGTATTAAATAAATCCTTTAGGATAGACATCAATAGCTAAGTAACAACCACATCGGTCGGTACTGGTGTAGAAATATATTTTCTTGTAACGTTTGCGACGTGTTGATTTCTTCGACGAGCTGTATCGGCATAATTTGTTTATTGAAATCTGATATATCTTTGCTCACCGACATTCTGCGCACAATAAAATTTGATATTCACTATTGTGTAACATTGATTATTATTATTAAATATATTCACTGATTTTGTAACCGAAGGTTAAATTACATCAGCTATACTACAAATAATTAAATATAAAGGAGTAAACTACTATTTACAATTTAATTTCGAAATAATTTGTGGTAAGAAGGATTTCTAAAACGTTCTGTTTTACAATAATAATTATTATATTTACAATTTCCCCTCGTATCATAGACCGAAGAGGATTTATTAGGTAAAAATTCATCCAATTTTTGAAGGTTCTCATCTCTCAAAAAGAACTGTTCGCATAAAATCTCACGTAAAATCTCACGTGATAGTATTCATGACAAATAAAATATACAATTTTGTAAATATTTCCTGCATGATTTCTGGGTTAGTTCTTCGCTCACTCCTCGCTCAATGACAAAACCTACTTACGTACCCACCCTAATTGAAATTGTTTGTTATCTCCCAGATTCTGGGAGACACGTGACCAGCCGATAGCAGGGTCTAAGGGTCTTTCCCAGCCGGTGGAAAGTCCCTGCGACGGAGGTTGCTGTTGACAACGTGTATGTCTGAAGATGGAAATCGTAGTATCGGGCAAGGAATACAGCAAACTTTGAGATCGCAAAATAATCCCGAAGTGTTGCTCAACCAAGCCGAACGAGCTCAGATTTGCATGTTTTCTCAACCGAATATTTCAATATTTGCATATTACAGAAACGTGTTGCAAAGGACAAAAGGCTAAATCCCAAGCGTCTAAAATCTCGCATTCAATATTATTCCAGTTGTGTGGCAACGTTCCAGTTGCTGATTATTACCTGTGGAGATAACAACCAATGTTATCGGCGTGCCTCTGCGGTTAAATGTCCAACATGTAAGAAAACTGTTCGACGCAATCAAAAGCGTGTAGTTTGCAGTACTTGCAAAGACTTGTATCATGCACGGTGTATCGAGGCAGTTATACTACAATATACTCCATCCGACAAGCCCGTTGAGCAGACATGTGATAGATGTTTAATATCACTGCTACCCTTCCATGGCCAACCTAATTTAGACGCTTCTTTTCGACAAGAAACCAGTGACGATCTTCTCAACGACGGGCCGATGAACATCTCAATGTCCTCACTAGTAGGGCTAACCAACTTAGGCTTGCACATTTAAACACACAAAGTATGGTGTCAACATTTAATGAGCTACTCGTCACCATTTCTAAATATCCATTTGATATAATAGCAATGAGTGAAACATGGCTAAAGAACAATCCTCACTTATTAGAATATGTTAACATCCCTGGCTACTCTAGCGCCTTTCGCAACCGAGATAAAATTCGCGGGGGAGGTGTTGCAGTGCCGTAGCCAGAACGATAATTGGGGGGGGGGCGGGGGCAAATATTCATATATTCGAGTTCACATATGTACCATAAAAACAATTGATTTCAAAAGAAATTGATAAAGCAGAACACGAATATATCCCCCCCCCCCCAAATTATCGTTCTGGCTACGGCACTGAAGTGTTGGTGTGCATTTGGGGGATACTATTAACTACAAGAGGCGTACAGATATTGAAGACATCGAACCTGACCTAGAACACATATGGCTGGAAATACCTGGTAAAAACAAACACAGTAACATGTTGCTCGGAGTATTGCATCGATCGGAGCGTTTACACGACTTCCAAGCTTGGATGGACAAGACCGAAAATTTGCTAAGCCAGCTAAATATCCTCTGGGATGGTCTACTTGTCGTCACTGGCGACATGAATATCGACCTGTTGAAACCTGAATTACCCCAAGTTAAGAAATATACTGATTTACTGGAATCGCTGAATCTTTATCAACACGTGCAATGTCCTACTCGTACTGCTCCTACCTCTGCAACGCTTATTGACCACATAATTAGTAATACCCCAAACCGTGTCACCTATTGTAACGTATTACCATGTCCTACATAAGAGCTTGCAGATTCCAGCCACGATTTAAATTACTACGTGGTGAAAAACAGTTTGATGAAAAAGCTTTTATAGACGATATTGCATCACTGCCATTCCCCGTGCCATTCAATATCGTTTACGGTATCGATGATCCAGATCAGCAACTAGATATATTTAACTCATTAATAAAAGATTGCCTCGACAGACATGCACCGTTACGCAGATCTAAAATCACGCGCCCTCCTGAACCCTGGTTAAATCACAGTGATGTGAAACAACTTCAAAAGGAACGAAACGAGCTCAGATATTTGGCTCACAAAACAAACCTGAGTCATGTCTGGAATAAGTTAGAAAGAAGTAAGAAACACTATACAGACAAAGATTAAGAAGGTCAAGAGAGCTTTCTATCAGAAAGCATTATCATCAAAAAAACCGAAAGAACTTTGGAAAATAATACACCGCATACTTCATCTCAATCCCAAACCTATGTATGCGGATCCCGACCAATTGAACAGCCACTCCAGCTCTACCTCGCAACGTCTACTCGGGTCAGTGCAGACTTCCCTAAGTGCCTTGCAAGAACTAGTAAACTCATTACCAGTCTGTATGTCCAACTCGTTTAATACTTGTCCTGTTGCCCATAGTGAAGTATTGAATCAGTTAAGAACAATAAGATCTGACTGTTCGACAGGAATTGACCAGATTCCGGTAAAATACCTTAAGATGGCAGCTGACACATTGCCTCACCATTGACCTATATCATCAACGGGTTTATTGCAAATTACAGCTTTCCAGATGTTTGGAAGACTGCACGTGTGTCACCCAAAGTAGCCTCCCCGACCGAGTTAGACCATTATAGACCAATTGCTATTCTCCCGGCTCTTTCCAAAGTCTATGAACGCCTCATCCTAAATCAAATTGTAAAATACATTGACCAGCATAATGTATTAAACGAGAATGTTACTGGCTTTCGTAAAGGCCATGCCACCTCGTCTGTCCTTTTACGCGTAAGAGACGATAGGCTATGAAAAAAGGAGAAATTACTCCTATTGCATTCGCCGACATCTCCAAGGCGTTCGATACAGTGGACTTTGCGGTAATAATAAAGAAACTTCATGCCATTGGCTTTTCACACTCATCGTTAAATTGGATTCTTAACTACCTTACTGGTCGGAAACAACTTGTTCAAGTAAATGACAGCCAATCTGAACTGGCGGACGTGTTGTTTGGTGTTCCGCAGGGATCTATATTGGGTCCCATGCTTTTCAACCTTTACGTCAGCGATCTTCAAAATGATTTTACCTGCAGGTGCTTCCAATACGCCGAAGATACAACAGTTTTACCGTAGACGTACACCTAAAAACCTCAGTCAATGTGTGCAAAAAATGAATGACAACATACAGACTCTCGAAACTTGGGCCACAGAACCAATCTCTTGTTGAATGAAAATAAGACTAAGCAGATGCTCATAAGCACTCGACAGATGTCAAGAACTCATAATCTCGGAGACATCACGCCACCTCTTACCATAAAGAATCAATCCCTTGAGAGAGTTGAAAATTTCGGAATATGACACCCCAACATACTAAAAAGCTATTAGCAGAAAGTCTTGTACTTTCTAAGCTAAACTTTAATGATGTCGTTTGCTATCCTCTCCCGCATACCTACAAAAGAAAATGCAACGTGTGCAAAACGCTGCTGCCAGCTTCGTCACTAATCGTTATTGTTCAGGAAAAGATGTCTTACAGCTTGGACGGCTTCCAACCTTGGAGAGAACTCAATTAAACCTACTCAAGCATACTCACCGAGTAATCTACAACAAGGCCTCTTGGCCTGAGTATTTAACCATGGAAGTATATAACCCTGGAAGAACGTTACGCTCTAATGCAGCACCACGATTGTCGATTCCATTAATAAAAGGAACTTTTCAGGAGACAACAGCGAACTTATTCAATGATCTTCCTCCAGAAGTACGATCATGTGCCGACTTAAACGTATTCATGAGGGAAGTGAAACAATTACTGAAATCCAGAGCACTCCTACGCCTTGAATAGACTTATTTGTATTGTATTAGTACAATATTTCTTCTTATTAACAATTTAGCTTAAATTTATATATATATATATATATATATATATATATATATATATATATATATATATATATATATATATATATATATATATATATATATATATATAAAATAAGTGCAACGATCTTTATTACTATTAGTTTCGTACCACAAGATGTGGCACTCATCAGATAAATTAGCCTTATGACTACAGCAGAAAACCTACAGTATTTATGTACAAGTGGATGAAAGCTTTAAAGTAATCCTTTTTACAAAGCACGCAAAGCAATTATTTTGTTACTTGATAAAATTGACAGGACGCGGAAGTATTAACAACACATCAGCATAACGCCAAGCTATTAAGATTGCGCGGTATATTTAAAACAAAAATATGTCTGTCTCGAGTGCATGTCCTTTAAATGTTAGCTAAAAGAAATTTTTTCGCATGTCTACATGAAGACACTAATTCATTACGTTTGTTCAAAGTAGCTAGTTCAGGTTTACATATAATAAAGTATTTTTCCCACAGGCAGAGATTACATGATCTATTAGAAGCAGGGCTGTAGGGTTTGGCCCGTTTCAAGGTTTGCCATTTAATATGAAATTCAATTCCTTTGCGCTTTAACTGCCAGACATATTTACTAAGTTCAGTGGAGTTCCTTTTCTCGTACAAAGTAAATGAGGTTTTGTGGTTGTAATATCTAGTTTTAAAAGCGTTTTCAGTCAGACCAACGTATGTTTGAGGTGGACTATTATCTTTGGTAGAAACTGTAGCTTGATATACAATAGATTCGATCAAACACTTTTTGGACATTGGGCACTCCTCTTTCTTTCTACAGTTACATGTGCTTTCTTCACTCGTTGTGGCGGTTTGTGACAGTTTGGTCTTGTTGTGTCCGTCGATGGTTTGTTTGATATTAGGCATGCAACTGTAGCTTATTTTAACAGTGTTGCGGTTGAATATTTTGTGTAGGGGGTGGCCTATCGGGAATTCATCATCGATGATATTCAAAAATGTTTGTCCAATATTTGTTGATACATTTTTACTAAATGGTGGATTGTACCAAATGATATTACGTCTTCGATTTCGGGTTCGAGGGGTTGTATGATTAAGTGGGTGCTTGTACTTTAACTGGTGTTTATAACCACTATTCTGAAGTGCTTGCTGGTATTGTTGCGAGGCTTGTTGGAATGATTTCTCATCGGATGATATTTCAGTTAGGCGTTTGTTGATAGACAGTGGGATATTGCGCAGGATATTAGGTGGGTGATTAGATTTCTTTATTAGGTTTGGCGTATGGTTGATATTTCCTGGTTGACAAATTAAGGGTAACGTCAAGAAAATTGACTATTTTCTTGTTAGCTTCAATTGTGATTTTAAGTCCGTATTTGTTGAAAATGGAACACAAATCTTTTTTGATATTTTCTATCTCACGCGCTGTCGCTTTAATGACTCCTAACCCGTCATCTCTATATAATCCGAAGTTGTTTCCATATATATATATATATATCCCTCTCAATATTGTCGTGAACTGAGACTACTGATATAGAGCTTTAATAAAAAATATGCTATTATTAATTTTCAGGCTGTTGTGTCCAAAACCTAGATACTGTAAGGATCATTATAGCTAAAATGTTATACTTATGTTAGGATTGTTTTCTTAGTTGAAGTCTTTTATAACCTTTTACGCAGAGTTGACAAGGAAGATGAAATGCAATGTTTGATCAAGGGATGTAACTTCATGCTTCACAATATTCCTAATGAGATTTTTGAATTCCATCGTGATCAAGGGCCTCAGTATGTTTTCAAAAACTTGCTTGGATCGGATTTGTTTCCTTACTTGCTCGTCAACATTGGCTCTGGAGTCAGCATTCTTAAGGTGCGTGATATATTTTTGTCCTATAACACAGCACAATTAGTGAAATGGAACAAATAAACAAAACAAAACAAAACATAGCTAAAAGCAACCTCATTCCTAGGCTCTTACCTCTTGTGGAGAAAAGACCCTAGCTGGTAGGAGCTGGTCACGTGATCTGCAAAAATCTAGCAGATTGTTAATTGATGATGATGATGTTGATAAGTATTTGATATTTATAGTTTAATTTATAACTTGCATTTTGTTTTGCAAGTTTGATTTGATTTGATTTTACAGGAATCCAAGATAGTTAATTAGAAATCTGCTCAATTTTAGCAGATCACATGACCAGCTCCTGCCAGATCTTTCCACAAGAGTCAAGAGCCCGGAAACGAGGTTGAGCTAGTACGCACTGTAATATAATAATTTTATAATAATTGTAACTTCAGTACAACTATGTTTTCCAAAATGTACTTATTATGTATTAGAAGCCGCTCCAAGTGAAAGAATGTAAATGAATTAGCGGTTAATTAGATAACTATTTAACTGTTTCGAATTTGCCTACAAGAATTTCAACTGTTTTTTTTTCTTTTTTGAACAAGAAGAGTTTTCTTCTTTTCAAGAAGGCCTGGCTTCTATATTCAACTAAATCTCGAAAAAGGTGGTTGGGACAATATTCGCGCTATAAGAAAACCCTCAACTAGCTTGGCTTTTAGTTTTGCGTTTTTACTGACCTGCAAACTCTTGAGGCCCTTGAGTTTCTCGCTCACCATCGTATTTTGCATAAACTTGTCATAAAAAGTAAAATCTTTTTTATAAATAGGTTGATTCGTTTGATAGCTTTGTTCGAGTGGGTGGAACAAGTATGGGAGGTGGGACGTTTTGGGGCCTGGGCTCGCTTCTTACTAGTGCTAAGGTACTGTTTGAACACATACAATGCTGAATAATATTGATATTTTGATGTTTTTAGCCTGCTCGCAGCCTGAAATTTCGACTAACACAAATTACAGTCTGCTGAACAGGAAAGTTAATCGTGTACCGTGACGTTGCACTTGTGCGAAAATAACACATTGGTTGGTTAAACGAACCTGGTACAACAAACACACAGTGACTTTATAATTGGTTTGATTTGTGATTATTGCCCCTGCATGACAAGCGGAAGGTGGTGTCTCGACACCTTGCCAAGTATATCATAGTTTCTACCACTGTGACCAGTCTTGCAAATCGTTAATTTAATCTACGCCCATATACTGTTGAAATGCAAGAAATGCAAACAAATGTATAGGTATATAGCTCGTTGCAATTATGTTCACATTTTTCCAATCTGTTTCTTGCGTGTGATATTGTGACGAAATCAAATTTATCTACGTCATGGTACACGATTATACTTGGGATTCAACAGACCCTTATTTTCCGTTTCATAATATAGGGCTGGAAGCAGGCTAGTTTTTTCGGACACGGTCGAACCCGTGATTGTCCAAATATTTACATTTATTTAGGGATTTGACGAATTGTTGGATCTTGCTAAAGGTGGTCAACATACTAATGTCGATATGTTGGTAAGATATTTTTACATTAGACAGACGCTTGCCATGTCTATATGTAATTCTCAAAAGATGGTGGATTGTCATCATTTGAATGAGCGAAATTTTAAAAACATGAGAAAGTTGTTTCATGGATGAAGATAGCCGCGAAGAACGATTTTTTCCCTTTCATTATAAAAAAGTGATAAAAAGAAATATGGTGGGAAATCAAAGGATATAGCAAGGCAATGCTAAAACGAAGGAGAAAGTATAAGTTTGTTTATGTGTCTTTGTTCATTATATGTCATTCAGTTCTCCAGTGTTTGGGTCTATAAGTTCCCTTAAATAACCCTTAGTTTATATTTTAAAAGAGAGTGAAATTATTCTTCATTTTAAGGATAAACGTTATCGGCAAAGAGAAGCAGTTACATTTTATGAACATTTCGAAACGATTTGAACTTTAGATGTAGTTTACAGAATGCCAATAACATAGCTATATCTTGCATGCATTGGTATTATTGTCATTTTATACAAAATATTACCTTAGCTACCAATAATCGCGCTACAATTCTTTTGGTCAACGTAAACAAGGCTATATCTGTTGGCACCTCTGTCTCTGATTTTGGCTTTATAGCCGAAAATATGAGAATTTTGAAATTTTGCCTACTATTACTAGTATGTTCCCAAAAAATCCAAAATGTCAAGTTCGCTTTTAGCAAAAATAAACTGTACCACTTGAAAGTTCGCAAAAATGTATAGCAAGTAACCTGATTTTTTAGCCAATTTTGAGTTTTTAACGCTCAGATATGAAGAAAATGCGCTAATTTATGGTAATATTGTAATAGCTACTTTAAGCCTCTTTAACTCAAAACCAGCTTGGAAATCCGCACTATACTTGCTTAAATGTCTTATATCTACTTTTTTGCGAACTTTCTATTATGTTATAGTTAATTTTTTTTGTGAAGAGTGAAATTTTGAAATTTTGAAATTTGAAATTTTTCATTTTTTAGGCAAAATTTATTAGGTAATTTATTAGGCAAAATTTCAAAATTCTCATATTTTTGGCTATAAAGCCAAAATCTGATGCGCCAACATATATATAGTCTTTCAGAGACTACTATTTGCATGCAATTAGCCTTTCTCATGCAGGATGACGAATATCCGCCATTTTTGGGTGGCATCTAATTCTCGTTAACCCGATGCAGACAATTAAAAACAATGATGTGAAAAGCAATTTTTCAAAATAAACTAACCATTTACAAAGCAAATTTACCATCATTCGTCCACAAAATTATAAAAAGTCGCTGTTATAGTGTTATGTGGACTTATCTCGCAGACTTTGGCTGAAAAGCCACCCAAAAATGGCGGCGTGAGAAAGGCTAATTGCGATTCCATCTCCCATGAAATGTAGTGATATTGCTTGTCGGGAACTGCGAGTTCAAAATATGAAAGTTTACATGCAGTATTTCGCAAAAACAAAATTATGTTTTATATACCGCGCATGTGCAGTGAATGATTAAACTCCAGGCAAAACGCAATGTTTATATACCTGCATGCTTAAGCCCAGAACTGCTGTATTGGTCAATAAGCTGAAACATAATTTGGGACATTCGAACGACGGCAGTGGATTTAACTTTGCAAGTCTTTGAAATATTTTTATCTTACATTTCAGGTTAAAGACATCTACGGTGGAGATTACTCATTAATAGGGTTACCTGGTGATTTAACGGCGTGCACGTTTGGTAAGGCAGTTAGGTCGGCGATGTCAGACAGTACAACGAACGTTAATAGTAAGTATGTAATGTGTAGTATTTTGTTTAATTATTTTATACTCGTTCCGGCCGTAAGCCCGGGCCGTGGTTACTAATTTTGCTCGGCTATTTATATTTACACTCGGGAAAAGGAAAGCATTAGCGAAGTCTAAAGTTCATCAATAATTGCGGGAGCATGCATGGCTATATGTTTCATCGTGCGTGGGTAGTCATCCTCACTGACCTCAAAAGTATGGCGAATTTTAGGACTGGAAAGAGTATTAAGGAAACAGCAAAAACCATTCAACTCGAAAAATCTTTAATGAGACGAGCAGCCAAACAGTTTATTTGTTTTGCTTCATAACAAAAGATCAGGGGCAATAGATTGCTGGAAATCGTAAAACCTAAGGTAAGTTTGTTTCAAATGTTGATGTCAGTATTGTTTGCTTTCTATTAAATTGCTTTAAAAACTGATGTTGCGTATAATGAAAAAGACAGCGTATTTATAGTGTATACTTTCCATTTAATTACTTTTTTATTATTTTAGATTATTAAAAATCTTTACTGTAAATAAGGAAGAGAGCAATGTTACTTTCGTACGAGAATTGCACAATTTGAAATCAATGTGATATTTTGGGGGCTTTGTTTTCAATTGTAGAAATATGAAATATAAAATTATCGTGTTACTATGACAACTACTTCAAATATTTCATGTTTGGGAAATAGTTGTTTTGCTTGCAAAGCGAGGAGTCCCTCCATGCATGTAATTCTAGTAATATAATATGTGGGCGCTCTTCGGTCAAACATTTTGGAAAAGCTAGTCAATCGTTTGGTAAATAATGTATATTTGATGAATTTTAATTTGCCGTATTATTTATAATTATCAAAATAAATCGGATACTGCAGAGAAAATTTAAATTTAACAAATATAAAACATTTTCCGTGTTGATATACAGTTATATCAACGCAAGTGGAAATTGGGAAAACGAGAAATTGTATGGAAACACGACGCCTTTTAACACAATTTCGAGTTTTCCCAATTTCCACCAGTGTTGATATAACTGTATATCAATACGCGGAAAAATGCTTTATATATTTTTTTTAATATAGCACAAACAAATATAAGTATAGGCAATCATGCGATGGCGAGTACAATTAGAGATTAATAGTACGAGTGATGTTTGGAAATTTTGCCAAAATTGTACGAGCCGCCGGGGCGAGTCCAATTTGGCAAATTTCCAAACATCACGAGTACTATTAATCCATAATTGTACGAGCAACATCGCATGATTACTTGTTTATTATTAGCATGACAAAATTGGATACTTCTTAATGTTAAGATCATATATTCTCTCGCCAAAGCCCAGTCCTGCCTGATTTTCAACCAAAATTTTATGCTTCTGTCCATATTTTCATTTGTTAAAGCACAATTTTTTCTTTTGTTAAAGCACAATTTGGGCTTTTGTTCGTATTTTCATCTAGTTCCTCTAGGGCAATTTCAATTCACGCTTGTATTTAAAATACCTTTCCGCCATTTTGTTTGTTGTGGGAAAATCATTAATTGTACTGCAGTACAATTAATGAAATAATTGTACTCCTCTCAACCAATCATGCTAATAATAAAGAAAGAAATTTTCCGTGTTGATATTATGTCAACACGGCTCTTAGCCAAATTTGGTTTTTCTTGTCTTTCGAGAAAAAGGAACCAGTACTACCACAATTCCCTTCGATGAAAGGAAGAAATGCTTTTGGCAGCTAAAGTGCATTTTAATTGTCAGTGGTTGCTTTTTAGGAACGAAAGGATTTTCGGAAAAGGATATAGCAAAAAGTCTTTTACACATGATTAGCAATGATATTGGGCAGGTGAGTGCCGATGAATGAACGCAATCTTAAAGAAAAAAGGTGATTTTATTTGCTTGACATTTGTTTAAAATAAAAAAATGAGATGTCCAGGATGTTGGTGAGCAATTTCATTGCGTTCTAAAGCACTTTAAAATTGGTAATATCAACTCAGTGGCTAATGGAAGTATATAGAGCTTTTAACAATGTCTGAACTCTCAGATGCAACACCTGTGTTATATCAGCAATAATTTACCCATACCATCTTTTTTAGCTTGCTTCCCTACATGCGAAGCTTTATGGTTTGAAGAGAATTATATTTGGTGGCTTTTTCATTCGGGGATATCCAATTACGATGCACACTATTACGTTTGCAATAAATTACTGGTCCAAGGTTTGAGAGGAGATTAATATGTTATATAATTATGGAGTTAATTTCCTGTTTAATTAAGAAGTTGATTTTCTTTTTCAACTAAAACACTTTATTTAGAAATGCATTAAAACTGATTGGTTATATAGCTACAGCAGAAATTAACCAATTAAAGAGTAGTTTAGAATTGGAATATCGGAAGTATAAGCAAGACGTATATAGCTGTAAGAGGTGCGCATCAACTTTGTTGCCCAAGGACATGATTTACTTCTATTTGAAAACGACATGACCGTAAAATTGCAATGATGCATGCAATAGTCATTCACGTTTGAGATACAATTAATACTTTTTACCCAACTTTTCATATAAAAATACACTTTAACCTTCACCTTAGGGAGGACAAAAAGCATTGTTCATGCGTCATGAGGGATATTTAGGAGCCATTGGTGCCTTTATTAAAGGGGCAGAAGAGGAAGCAGGTATAGGCAAATGAATTCGCATAGAGGACCTGATACAAATGATGATGTCATAACATAGTGTCACAACCACCAAATTTCGATCTAAAATTGTTGCTTTTTTATTAATGGTTATCTCTGCAAGAAGATGGATTGTTGACTAAGTTTCTTTGTTGTATAGCTGCTGATGGATCACTATTTTATTGGAACTGGGGAGAAAATTATGCTGGAAGTTCTGGATTACCAACGAAAACGTTTAAAACACCACAACTTCATGCAGATGTTAAGGTATGTATGGTGTTTTTCCTTCTGATATAAGATGGGGGAAAACACTCGGACGATTTCACATGTGTGTTAACTTATTTCTTTTGACTTCTATAAATTGTTACATTTTCTATGATTGCTATGGTTGATCGGCTTATGCAAAATTTGACAATTTTTAGCATTTTCAACATGCCGGGTGTGCAATTGTAGCATATATTTCTAAGCAGTATTCTATGGTTGATCGACTTATGAAACATTTGACAATTTTTAGCAGTTTGAACATGTCCAGCCTGCAATGGTTTCATATAATTATTTATAAGCAGTACCGTAGGTTACATTAAACCAACCATGCAATTTAAGAAATACATTTCTTCTACTAAGTTACATGCAGTACTTACTCTATAAGAACCGCAAACGTTGTTATGAGCTCCTTGCGCACGAATGGAATCGATATTTATATCGGAATCAATGTCATTGCAATACGCATTTTGTATAGTGTGATGTGTTGGAATTAGACAGAATGGATAGATCCCTTTTGCCATTTCCATTGCTGTATCGTCCAAGTAAATATCATCCTGATACTGAAGATTTGACAGCTGATGAAGCTGCGCAAGATTATTGGTTGGGTTGTTTTGAATCTGGTTTACACATGGTAAGTATTGCACCTACAAATTGTGGCATCAAGATTTATGCTGAAGCTTACATCTCAAACTCATTAATAATTCATGAGTAAATTAAGCAATCATATTGCTTTATTTCGCTCAGATGATAATACTGGATACCTGGTGAAGTATATTGATCCAATCCTAGGAACGTAATCGAAATTAATTCACCTCACTTTAAGTAGTGATATATTCGCATGGGATGTAATTTCAAATCCTCCAATTCGGACTTGACTAGATTTGATTTTATCTTCAGAGGCCGCGGAACCACCTCGAAAGTGGGGGCAGAGGGGGCACTGACAAGGAAGGGCTCTTGAGTCAGCAAACATTCTAAATATGTTAGATGTGTCCTTAGAAGGTCTAGAGGTTTGGACGCATTCAATATACAGTCTCGGATGTTATACGTATTCTCTATAATACATTAATAGCTCTGCGTCCTAAACTAAACATGAACACATTAACCACAAATTTAATTTTTTTACATTTTTTATTAATTAATGCAATGTCATTCAAAATTGCCAAAAAATCTAAGTCTCCGGTCGTTTTTTATATAATCAAACTTAAGTCCAGTTCATCAGTTCTGTCCTTGTTTACGAGCAGCATAACAATAAAACAAGGCATTTGTAGAGCTCTTAGCTTACGGGGTCATTTATAATTCCTCTTTAATTGCTGGAAAAAAGGCACATTTATTCCACAAAAAGGGCACATTTTCTCCTTGCACAAAAAGTGGTGGCACCTGCCCCCAATGCCCCCTTCCCAGTTCCGCAGCCTCTGGACTTGATCAAATATCGCGGACTTGAAATCTAGTCCAGTCCTCATAGTCGGACTTGAAAATTAATATTACTTGAAATCTTGAGGAGATCTCTGACTTTTAGTTTCCATTTGTTCACTGTTTCTAACTTAATCAAAATTTTCCTCATTTCAATGTGACTGAAAGAATGAATTTTTAAACTTGAAGACATCCGTTAAATGGAAAATTAGAAATTTCAGATCCGAAAAAGATTTTATAAATTAATTCACGTTCAATCTTTATTTATTAATTCACGTTCAATCGGCAAACAATTTATTCCTACATTATAATAGATAGATAGATAGATAGATAGTTTAATAAAACATTTACATTGCAGCCAAAGGCTGAATTACGTAAAGTTTACAAAATACGAATTATTATTTAATTACTATTATAATTATTAAGTTAAAATTATGCAAATATTTAAAATTTTACTAGAATGATAATAAAAAAGATACCACTAACGTTATGAAGACATCTTGGATGCCATCGCAAATATAAAAGAGTTTTTAGTACGATTAGTATTAAAATGAGGAATGTCAAATTGATGACCATTTCTGAGATCGTGGTGCCAGTTATGTTTCTGTGGGAGGAGGTCATAAAGTTTGTGGTTTGAATCCTTTGTAACATTATCAGACAAATTTCTGCATAAGAATTTATGGTGTTCTTCTATTGGTTTGATGTTCAAAATTTCTCCTGTTGCAGAGTAGTCCATTCCTGGATTTATTGTTGAAATAGCCCTTTTTTCCAGTCGAATAAATTCGTTCTTTAAGTATTGTGGAAGGGAGTGATAAAAAGCT